GCAGCTGGAGCAGAACCTTGACCTGCAGCTGTACATGCGCGACTGTGAGCTGGCCGAGTCCTGGATGTCGGCCCGCGAGGCATTCCTGAACGCTGACGACGACGCCAATGCCGGCGGCAATGTGGAGGCCCTGATCAAGAAGCACGAAGATTTCGACAAGGCCATCAACGGGCACGAGCAGAAGATTGCGGCCCTGCAGACTGTGGCCGATCAGCTGATTGCCCAGAACCACTATGCCTCCAACTTGGTGGACGAGAAGCGCAAGCAGGTGCTGGAGCGCTGGCGCCACCTCAAGGAGGGTCTCATCGAGAAGAGGTCGCGTCTGGGCGACGAGCAGACTCTGCAGCAGTTCTCGCGCGATGCCGATGAGATTGAGAACTGGATCGCCGAGAAGCTGCAGCTGGCCACCGAGGAGAGCTACAAGGATCCGGCCAACATCCAGTCGAAGCACCAGAAGCACCAGGCCTTCGAGGCCGAACTGGCGGCCAACGCGGACCGTATTCAGAGCGTGCTGGCGATGGGCGGAAACTTGATCGACAAGAAGCAGTGCAGCGGATCGGAGGATGCAGTCCAGAAGCGACTCACCCAGATCGCTGACCAGTGGGAGTACCTGACCCACAAGACCACCGAAAAGTCGCTGAAGCTCAAGGAGGCTAACAAACAGCGCACTTATATCGCTGCCGTCAAGGATTTGGACTTCTGGTTGGGCGAGGTCGAGAGCCTGTTGACCACTGAGGATTCTGGCAAGGATTTGGCCTCTGTCCAAAACCTCATGAAGAAGCATCAGTTGGTCGAGGCTGATATTGTGGCCCACGAGGACCGCATCAAGGACATGAACAACCAGGCCGATTCCTTGGTGGAGAGCGGACAGTTTGACACTGCCGGTATCCAGGAGAAGCGACAGAGCATCAACGAGCGCTACGAACGCATCTGCAACCTGGCTGCCCATCGCCAGGCCCGCCTCAATGAGGCCCTCACCCTGCACCAGTTCTTCCGCGATATTGCCGACGAGGAGAGCTGGATCAAGGAGAAGAAACTGCTGGTGGGCTCCGACGACTACGGACGCGACTTGACCGGCGTCCAGAACTTGAAGAAGAAGCACAAGCGTCTGGAGGCCGAGCTGGCTTCCCACGAGCCTGCCATCCAAGCGGTCCAGGAGGCCGGCGAGAAGTTGATGGATGTTTCCAACCTTGGTGTGCCGGAGATTGAGCAGCGCCTGAAGGCCCTCAACCAGGCCTGGGCCGAGCTGAAGAATCTGGCTGCTACTCGCGGACAGAAGCTGGACGAGTCCCTGACCTACCAGCAGTTCTTGGCCCAGGTCGAGGAGGAGGAGGCCTGGATCACCGAGAAGCAGCAACTGCTCTCGGTGGAAGACTACGGCGACTCCATGGCCGCCGTCCAGGGTCTGCTGAAGAAGCACGACGCCTTCGAGACCGACTTCACCGCTCACAAGGACCGTTGCTCCCTGATCTGCGACCAGGGCAGTGAGCTGGTCGAGGCCAAGAACCACCATGGAGACTCGATTGCCCAGCGCTGCCAGCAGCTGCGCCTGAAATTGGATAACCTCTCGGCCCTGGCCGCACGCCGCAAGGGAGCCCTTCTGGACAACTCTGCCTACTTGCAGTTCATGTGGAAGGCTGACGTTGTGGAGAGCTGGATTGACGACAAGGAGAACTACGTGCGCTCCGACGAGTACGGACGCGATCTTTCTACCGTGCAGACGCTGTTGACCAAGCAGGAGACATTCGATGCAGGTAGGTCCTCCATACTCTCCATATTCCTGCATATTTTAATGCTCTTCTTTCTGCAGGTCTCAATGCCTTCGAACAGGAAGGCATCCACAACATTACGGCTCTGAAGGACCAGTTGATCAACGCCAACCACGCCCAGTCGCCGGCGATTTTGAAGCGTCACGGTGACGTGATCGCCAGGTGGCAGAAGCTGCGCGACGCCTCCGAGACGCGCAAGCAGCGACTTCTGGCAATGCAGGAGCAGTTCCGCCAGATCGAGGAACTCTACTTGACATTTGCCAAGAAAGCTTCGGCCTTCAATTCTTGGTTCGAGAATGCCGAGGAGGATCTCACAGATCCTGTTCGCTGCAACTCGATCGAAGAAATTCGCGCCCTGCGCGACGCCCATGCCCAATTCCAGGCGTCCCTCTCGTCGGCCGAAGCTGATTTCAAGGCATTGGCAGCACTCGACCAGAAGATCAAGAGCTTTAATGTTGGACCCAATCCCTACACCTGGTTCACCATGGAAGCTCTTGAGGAGACCTGGCGTAACCTGCAAAAGATCATAGAGGAACGCGATGGGGAACTTGCCAAGGAGGCGAAGCGCCAGGAGGAGAATGACAAGCTGCGCAAGGAGTTCGCCAAGCACGCCAATCTCTTCCACCATTGGCTCACAGAGACGAGGTGAGTGACGGGATGGGGTTTCTATTTATTTTACAGTGAGTTTGAAGTTTTGTTCGAAGTGGAATCGAAGTCCTTCCCAAAACCCTCACAGTGTCTGAATCCATCTGACATCTGAAAACAACTCTTGTGGTCCATCTCCATGAAATGCCTACGTTACTGAACAGATCAATTCTATTTTTCTAGATATTATATGCTGGGTTATAACCGTCAAGGGTAATTAAGTCCAGTCTCTGGTTCTCCGTTTTTTTGCTTTTGCCACTTTTTGTTGTGCGACCTTCTTTGAAATGGTTCTCTAAACTCGCAAATCAGCCGCTCCTCGACTAACTTAACTTTGGGAATAACCGATAACTTTGTAACTCGTGCCTTAGCGCTCTGTAAATATTTATAAAAACAACATATATGTACAATAAGTATCCACACAGATCGATCCAACCAAGTTTTAGAGCGTATTCTGCATAATTAGTTGCAATTTAGCACCTGAGAAAAAGCGGTAGCTGTGTATATCAAGGAGGAGCCGTACCGATTCGTCCTTTCTTTTAAAGAGTTCTTACAATTCTTCAGCATGCATATCGAGAGCATAATAACAATGTTGTAGCATACAAGCAATTAGTAGAAATCGAGAAAATTAAAGTTTTTATCTTTTTTTCTGTTTAATACGAAGCATTAATCAAATCTTAGTAGCTTTTTTTTGGAAAACTAAATCGTTCTTTTGGCGCCATTCTTATTTGTATCTCGCTTTATAGCAATTAGACAACATTGTGTCTTTTATGAGTTGCTCAACTAAACAACCAACAACCACCAAAAATAACCACACTTAACTCCAACCGAATCGCGTCTGAAATTCCCACAGACACCTGTAAATATATACAACCCAAAAAAAAAAAAAAAAAATCAAAATAATGGGAAGACAAACTAGTTGTGAGCCCCAGATACCAGAAATAATTCCAGAAATTCGCTGCCCGTAACAGACCCATAACAAGATTTGCTTTTCTTATGCATTCTATCATTGTAATCGTTCCGATTTGTATTTGAGATGATGACTTAACCCCGATATTGTGCCGTACTAACAAACGTTTCATTTGCCCGCCCATATCTCAACCTGCCACATTACCACACTCCTACAGAACGTCCATGATGGAAGGCTCCGGTTCCCTGGAACAGCAACTGGAGGCGCTTCGCGTCAAAGCCACAGAGGTGCGCGCCCGTCGCGTCGACCTCAAAAAGATCGAGGAGCTGGGTGCCTTGCTGGAGGAGCATCTGATTCTGGACAACCGCTACACTGAACACTCGACCGTTGGTCTGGCCCAGCAATGGGACCAGTTGGATCAGCTCTCCATGCGCATGCAACACAATTTGGAACAGCAGATCCAGGCACGCAACCACTCCGGCGTCTCCGAGGACTCACTGAAGGAGTTCTCGATGATGTTCAAGCACTTCGACAAGGACAAGAGCGGCAAGCTCAACCACCAGGAGTTCAAGTCCTGCCTGCGCGCCCTCGGCTACGACCTGCCCATGGTTGAGGAGGGCCAGCCCGATCCAGAGTTCGATGCTATTCTCGGTGTTGTCGATCCCAACCGCGATGGCTACGTTTCCCTGCAGGAGTACATTGCGTTCATGATCTCCAAGGAGACTGAGAATGTTCAGTCCTACGAGGAGATTGAAAACGCCTTCCGCGCCATCACCGCTGCCGACCGCCCCTACGTTACCAAGGAAGAGCTCTACTGCGTAAGTTCTATCTTATCTTTATTTTATCGGAAGTCGGAATATAAACTATATTGCCTGTTACAGAACCTCACCAAGGACATGGCGGACTACTGCGTGCAGCGCATGAAACCGTACTCGGAACCGCGCTCCGGCCAGCCCATCAAGGATGCCCTGGACTACATCGATTTCACGCGAACGCTATTCCAGAACTAAGAGCCCACTGCCTGGCCTTGAGAATATGTTTTACAATCTACAAAAATATTTCTAAAGAAAAAAATCAAACAAAAATATATATTTACACCCTTATTTTCGATAATTTAGTCCTAAGTGAAAGAGTTTATTGCTTATTTAAGAATGCCACAATGAACCTAAAATCAACAATAGCACTTTGCAATACATATTTATCGACTTTATGACCATAAATCAGTTTGTAGTTTTGCATTTATTTAGGGAACACCCAACCGAAGGTGGTATCTTAAATTTGGTCGCTTTAGTTTCGGGAGTATTTCATATTTAATAAAGTTATCTGAGCCTGCGGCCTACGAAAAGCAACTATAATGCTTCGCTTCCAGTAATCGAGCAAACTCACACTTTAATATTGAATGTTTGAAACTATAAATGAGCCTATAAGCAATTGATATATCGAAACCATTTAAGATACTAATGCTTCATACCCAAAACAAAATAGCATCCAATAATTAGCCTTTGTGTTTTCTCCAGTTTCTACGTGTATTCGAAACGAAAGTAGGAAACAGTAATATTGGAATATTGAAAATAAAACAATAAATCTTTGCCTCTGTATTGAACGTATATTTACAATCCGCAAAATTGCAAAAAAAATAAATATATTGCTGCATGTCTAAAAAATAAAAACCTCATGTGTTTAATGTATTAACTCATTTATATTTAATCCGGACGTATAAAAACAGGTTGAAGAATTAGAATTATAACAAGAACTTGTTAATGCTCTCCGAGTATGATGCATTCGTCAGTTTACTGTTCAAAGCCTCCTTGGGCAGCCATTCAAACTTGGCCTGCTTCTCGGAAACCTGACCTGACCGCACGGATGCCCTGTAGAAGAAGACTTTGGCCCCGATACTCTCGGTCCTCTGGTTGCTCGGATATTTGTACTTGTGGAAGCCGACAGGTGCGTTTCCGTAGAAGAGCACCTGCAAATCCTGGCCACACTGCTCGCGGAGAACTCGCTCCGCGGTCTGTCGCATGGATTCGCCCTCTTGGCGCTTGCCCTGCGGCAGGATAAGGTGCTGCTGCTGCCCCAGCTTCTGCTGAACGAGCAGGTACAGTGTGTCCTCTAGGCAGCGGTCCGTGGAACTGGTCTTGTTGGCCTTGTCGTCTGCGGTAGTGCGTGAACCCAATTGGAACTTCTTGAGCTCCTCGATGTAAGCATCCTTTAGGTCCTGTGCCGTCTGTTTTGCTCCGCTGTCCTCTAGGTCCACCTGCATCTTTCCCTTCTTGATTAGTTCTGCTTGGACGAGATCACGCTCGTTCTTGAGCTCAAAATCGGACTTCAGGCTGTTCTCGTACTCCACGCGCCAGAGAAGATCCTGAAACTGTTTCTCCAGAGGATTGAGGCTCTTTGAAACCACCGGAAGGCGCTCCACCAATACGCCGGCATAGAGATCCCACTTCTCGGAAGCGGCGGATGTGGACTGAGTTCGACTCAGTTCACGGGCACCCAATTGCACAAAACGGCGCAACATCTTTCACGATTTTATTTAGGTTTTTGGAAAAATAAAGAATAAACACCGATTACATGAGCACCACTCCTGGACAGCTGTTCAGTTATGAACTAGTTCCGATAACAGAAACTATCGGTGAGCGCGTCGGCTCCGGCTCCGGCTCTTTTCTATTTTTCATTTGTTTTGTTGAAGCGCGGTGCAAACTTGGAGGAGCCCCCACCATGTCCGGATTGGAATCATACATCAACCACACAGTCAGCATAATCACGGCGGACGGGAGGAACTTCATAGGAACGCTGAAAGGATTTGACCAAACCATCAACATAATCATTGACGAGTGCCATGAGCGTGTCTTCTCCACAACCTCCGGGATTGAGCAGATTGTCCTGGGACTGCACATTATCCGCGGCGACAACATCGCGGTTATCGGACTGATAGATGAGACCATCGACTCTCGGTTGGACCTGGCCAATATCCGAGGCGAACCCCTTGGCCCAGTGGTGCACTAGAATAGAATAAATAAAAAAAATGTTCGAGACTTAACTGGCATTATATTTTAATTGTAACAGCTAATCGGATTCCACGCTAAAGTTAACCTGGCGGCATGCGAGAGTTTCCAGGTCCACCACGGCGACGCTCTGCGTCCTGCTGAAACTGGGCACGCATACGAGGCGAGTGCGTTTTCCGCTGGAGCTCTCATGCAGATCCGTCTCAAAGGAGGCGCAATTCCCGGCAAAGTATACGTGCGGGCACTCACGAAGAATGAAAGGATCGCTGTCGATATATGGGTAACAAGCCAAAGTATCCGGAGCAGTGGGAGCAACGTGTCCCCACTTGAGGGTGCATCTGAGGGCTTCTAGTGCAGAGTCTAGTGAGGTGCTGCGCAGCAGATCCGAGACGTTCTGGCCGGCAGTACCCATCACCAAGGCCTCGTCGAGGCGACAGCTGTAGGGGTTGGTCACTGCCTGGAAAGAGGAGAGCTTAGCTGCTTCCGGGAACATGCATTTGTGGAACGGCTGCTGGGGCAGCATAAAATTAGCCGGATCATAGGCTCCTGGAAGAATATCCACGGGCAGACTGCGGGCCCAGGCGGCAAACCACTTGTCCAATTGTGTGACAGCTTGGACAGTATCGTTGGCGTTTGCCTGAGTTCTGGCCACTTGTAAAGTTGGTACATGGGCCACAGCACTAGCTCGGACAGAGTTGCCTGCCACAATAAGGCGCACTATAGAGCCAGCCTCTTTTCCATTACCAAAACTTCCAGCTAGCCAATACTGGAACAGATTGAGGGCGTCTGCAAAGGTGTGGGCCTGTATTTGATCCAATCCAGAAACTAGAACCAAGAGCCGGCTGCTGTTTTTGGTTTTTAAAGGTTTCTGCGGTCCGCTCTCGTAGAAAAGTACGTCCTCCACGTTGAAGAAGCCTTCGCTGTCTGTGCCTCCAAGCACGGCACATACTACTCCGGTGGCCATAAGCTGGCCCTGAAGAAGTTCGCCCTGCAACCGCACGCGCTGCAGCTCATCCTCCAGCACCAGTTTGTCCTCCGGCTCAGAGTAATTTTGTCTGGGTGGCTGCGGCGCCAGCTGGTTCTCCTCCGAAATGTCCCTTAAGATACTAGGCTTGTGAGCTTGGTGCTTGTATATGGTGCCGATGAGGATGCAGTGCACATCCTGCTCGCCACGCAGTTCACACAGTTTCTTGATGGGCTCCTTGCGACCCCACTTTTCCTGTGCCAGTGGACTAAGGAGACGGGTCATCTCGGCCAACCGGTGGGCATACAGGTGGCAGAACTGCTTCTGGTAATCGTGAGTCTTCAGCCTAAACTGGGCGGACAGGTTTTCGTACTTAGTCTCCCGGCGTTGTGCCATTTTTTTGTTTGGATTTTCAATTTCTATACGGGGAACCTTTGAAGATGCAGTTTTGTTTCGTTTGGGCGCCAATAAGATACAGTGAAGACTGATTATTTGGAGAAGAGAATCTGTTTATCGATAAGTTTTGGTAGACAACCCGGATAAAATATATCTTAGTGATAAAATGTTGTAGAATATTAAAAAATAGTTAAAGTTTGAGCTTTTTACCCTTGAGAACTAATTATAAAATAATCCAGCAATGGCAAAAGTTAATCTTGCTAAGTTTATCGGAGTCCAGTTTTCACTGTACCCTGATTCCGATAGACGATAGGTCCCAGCTGTTATACACACTGCTATCGGAAATTAAGAGGAAGAGCGACGGACACAGCAAGAAGTTTATTTGCGATTAGGAAAAATCTGTACCGAATGCCCCGGGGCGATGTATTTGGTGTGTAAATCCAACCAGGTGATGAGGGAGTCTCTGACCATCCTCTGTGGATCGGCCTCGCGTCTTAAAGCGTCTCATTGCTGGTGATTTGGGCTACTTTTTCGGGGTCTTATTGATTTTTACGGTTTCGCGACTGCTACGCATTTCATTGTTTATTGATCTCCTAGTAGAAACTGCGTCGCAACGAAGGGAGAAGCATGTGTTAGCCGTAGGAAAGACTTCTGGGGATAGCCATCCCATCTCACAATGGGTGGCTCCGTAAGCCAGGTGTTTCGTTCGGGCTCGGCCCTGCTCTCCCATCGCGACGGGAAGGTGTCCAAGGCCACCGAAGAAACCATCCAAACATTGTTCGATATCCTGCGCGCCAATCCCAAGGTCTCGATTCAGACGCTTGAGAGTCTGCTGATCCAGATACCCAAGCACGAGAACATCCTGGCCCTCCACGACGAGTACGGCTACAATATACTGCAGCGCAGTGTCGGCCTCAATCACATCGATCTCACTAAATGGCTGCTGCACCGTCACCGTCCGGATGTAAACCGCTCGCCATGTTCCCTACCGTTGCACATTGCCACGCTTCGTGGCTACGAGGAGTGTGTGGAGCTCCTCCTGCGACACGGTGCCCGCATTGATGTGGACACACGCATGTGCTTTCCAGGCGCCCATACCCGCAACTGTGAGGAGAGCGGCAAGTGGCACAACAATGTGGACGATGTTAGTGAACGCCTAAGCACAAAGCTCCAAAACGCCCTTTACTACGCCATCGATGGCGACCAGTACAACGTTCTCAGTCTGCTTACCCAGAAAATGGAGGAGCCGTGGATACCATTCCGCGTTAAAAAACCGTTGTTACATCTCGCTTGTGAACGTGGAGCCTGGAACTGTGTCCAGCAGCTGGTTGTTACGCGTTCTGAAGAGATCAATCTCATCATGGACGAATACTATCCGATCCATCATGCCGTGCTCCATGACGGTCGCTTCCTCGAGTTGCTCATCCACCAGGGTGCTGTCACCACAGTGCGCACCTGCACCCAACAGATGACTCTTCTGCATGTGGGTGAGTATACTTCCGTACCTAGTTCAGTATGGTCTTTTCTAAAGCCCAATTTCCCTTTCAGTTATATTTGCCGCTCGAAAGTCAGCTGAGGACACACTTGCCACACTCCGTATACTGCTGGAGCGAGGCTGCAAAGAGCTGATCAATGCACCGGACTCTCTAGGAAACACTCCGCTACATGCCCTGATTGTACGCTATGCGCTGGAAGAGGCTCGGTACGGGTATGACAAGTGGAGCAAGTGGGACGTGCTGCATCTGGTCCGCTTTTTGCTGCAAAACGGTGCCAAGCAGTCGATCAACCAAGCTGGAAACAGTGCCATGGCTTGTGTATTCCGTCACCTGCGGGACTGGGAGGTCTGTTACGAACTGCTGAGCATGCTTATCAAGGAGGATGGCGACCCGAATATAGTTGGCCGGGATGGGTCTGTGCCGATCATGGTTTTGCTGGTTCCGCTAATTAACAAGGATCACCTGCATCACTTTACGCACTCAATGAAGGTGTGTAGATGAAACACACAAAAAGTATAAAAGAAATTAATGGTTTTGTTTCAGGTTTGCTATTTAAATTGCATTCGAATGCTGTTGCAACATGGAGCGAACCCAAACTGCTCGTACCGCGCTAACCTCAAGCCTCTCCACGTTCTCGTGTTCACAGTAAGTGAGAATTTTACGTTGAACTGCGACACTCAGAAGCGTACAAATTTCGACTTCATCAAAAACATCCTGCTGTTGCTGTTGCAACACGGCTTGGACTGCAACAAGACATATCAACACATTCTGCAGGCGGTGATGGACATGGTGCAGAATGTGCGAACTTGCCACGATATGGAGTGCGTCTACGAGCTAACGCTTACATTGATCCAGTACGGAGCTGATCCAAATATTTTGCTAAGTGGCAAAACCACGCCCGCCATTGCGATATTTTCCACCGAGCTGGCCACTTTCCGTAGCTCGTTTCGCACAAATTCCTGCTACCTGCTTTTCTACTACATCATTTTGATAACGAAAAAGGAGTTCATCCTGCTAGACCCTCACGCAACCTACCAGCGAGTGATCCACTTGTTTTATCTGACCATGGAGCACGAGCCACTGTTCAACTGCCTTAAGTCGCTGCACAACTTCTACGTGGCCCAGGTGCCGAGTAAAAAGACGGAACATCTCATAGCACTGATCTCGTCGCTCTACCGCCGCCCCAGGAGCCTTAAGCAACTGGCCCGCTTCGCCATCTATGAGGCGATGAATCGAAAGCTGGCCCAGAACATAAACCGCCTGAACCTACCCGGCCCGCTTAAGGACTACGTCTTGCAGTTCGAACGGTAGCGAGTGGTGGAGTAGTGAAGCCCAACGACCAATGAATCCCAACCGCAAACCGCAGCGAATTTGAGAATCAATCACAACTAATGTTGTACAATTTAATACGCATATTTACCAGGGAAACCCCTTTCAGTGCTCTAGTATTTGCCTACACCCCTACGTAGCTACGTCTGGTCTGTTCTGGATTGCAACTTTAGAAGAAAAAACTCATTGGATCGTTGGATTAAATATTAGACTTAAACTGAAAGTCCCGGACAGGCCCGTAACAGAAATAGAAACGCTTAAAAGTACCTAGACTCAACAGAAACACACACAAACAAAGCAAACGGTTTAAGAAAATATTGTCAAATCAAACACGTGCAATTTCTTTGATACAAATCTACTATATATTAACTACATTTGTTGTGAGGAGGATCGCTCATCTGTTTTGTATTTCTATACGTACAACTTTGTAATCTTTAACGCGCTTTGTATAAGCTACATATGTATGTAAGCACGCCCTCGGCTGTTGCACCTTATATCCTTTAAAGATCCCTTGCCTCTCCTTCGTCACATCTCATGCTACATAAGTTATAGATCATAAACTTAAGGCTGTTTTTTGAAAAAACATTTCGGGTGTTTTAGAATATTGTACATTTGACGGCAATCGTATGAGCGAGATGTTATGTAATTATTATTGTAACTATTATTATTATGATTATATTATTGTTGCTAAACCGTTGTTAATCTCTGTATCTGTAATGTCATTCTCAATCGAATTGATAACGCTATCGATCAATAATAAATACAAATAAAATTTCAAAAGGTCAGCCAACCGGCCTGAGTTTTCAAGAATCCTCGTTCCTGACTTTGAGAACTGTACTTTTAAAAACGAAAAACAAACACAAGTTGCCTTGGGAACAACAACAATAACAACGAGGCTAGGCAACCGAGGGAATTACAAACTTTTTTTATAGAAAAGGAGTGACCAGAACTCCCAAGCGGACATCAACGGTGCCGGGATGTACAGCCGAAAGTTGGAGCGGATGCACCGGCCGTCGTCGGACATCACCAAGTACGACAATGAGCCGTATATGCAGAACCCACTGCTCAAGTTCCGCATCAGCGAGGTGCACGAGCGGCGTCACTACCAGTTCCTCAAGCAGAAGGCGGCGGACGTAAAGGTCCGGGTAGCCCGACAGCAATGGAAGCCGGAACCGGACATGCGCCTTTTGCCACAAGCCCACTACGAGGACAACCTTCGACGAGAGGTGCGCAAGATAGTGGTGCCGCCTATGCTCCGCCGCACCGAGGCCAAGATCCTCAGCTATGTCTCCGAGCAGATGAAGTCCAAGTACCCGGAACTGGTTAAGGCCTACATGAAGGATGTGCACTCCGAGTTCAATCGCCTGATGAAGGTATATAGCATGAAGAACATACTCCGCCACCCGGAATTCTCCGACGAGGATCCCGCCACCTTCGAACTGCCACGGGCGGATTTCCACTTTCGTCGACCGGGAAAAACCCAAAACTATCCCAATTTTCTGGAGAATCGGCGCAAGATTGCCAGCAAGCTTCTCATCCTTCAGCTGCCTATGCGTGCCGTTCTAAATGTTTCAGTGGGGGAACTGCCCAACCTGGCCTGCATCTTCAACTACGTTATGGCCACGGGAGCTATACAACAGCAGCTTGGACTGGGCGGCCGAGAAGCGCTGTCCTATAAGTTCTACCGGAAATACATTCAATCCCAGCTGGACAAGGTGAACACCTTCCTACGTTGGACGTGGTATCCCAGGGTGGTTTTGATACTGCGGAAGCTCATCAGGAAGCGGGTGATGCCCATGAGTGTGTGGAAGCGTTCGTGGAACGCCCTAGAGGGGCTGATGAACCGCGAAATGACCAACATGAAGATACGCACCTTCGAAGAAATGTACCGCATGTGCGGCAATCCGAGGACGATGCCGATGCTTCGCCTGACTCTGGAGTGGGCAGAGTTTGCCGGGGATCTGGACACCCGACCCAACATGTGGGCGATATTGCGCACCTTTGCCGAAATCGCCACGGAGATCTCTATGGTTGGTTACCGAATGGAGCCACTGCAGCCCCAGGTACAGACCCTTACATCGATGGCCATGTACGCCAAGGTGAGCGACTATCTCAAGATAGAGATGAACGAGAATTTCCTGAAGGACGTGATCGATAAGGTTCAGGATATAATAATGCGCACGTATGGGGAAGTGATCCAGTACATCGATGAGTTTCGGGCCAAGTACTATGCCCTTTACTCGTGGCAGGAGCGAGATGCCC